GGGAGCCTCTTCTTTGAGGTTTGGGGGCCAACTATGTGTTGAGCTGTCCATCTTGGCTGGAGCCAAGGCTACAGGTCCTTGGTGGACGTTGGGTTTGTGTGGGGAAGGGGAACGGAAAGGGGAATGGGCGCCCAATAACCTGTTCTTCTCTCATTCCTCTCACTTGCAGAAAAAGAGGAGGGCAGCCACTGCCCGTCGGCAGCACCTGAAGGTACGTGGCCACGCTGGGGCTGGGTGAGGTGTGTCCTGACCATCCCATCTCCCATCCCGAGACAGCCAGCTCTTCCTCCTGGAAGAGGCCACGATGCACAGCATGGGGGCCCCCCACCTCACTCCTTACTGGGTCCCCACCAGCATCCCTTGCTTGCGGATGCTGGTATTGATGGGCAGCTCCTCAAGCTGCCTTTTCATCAGGATTCTCCCTCCTTTGCTGAGACCCCTACCCTCCTCCTCTTCCACCCCGTGCTGACCATCTTCTTGCTGCCTTCCAGAGTGCTATGCTCCAGCTCGCTGTCACTGAAATAGAAAAAGAAGCAGCTGCTAAAGAAGTGGAAAAGCAAAACTACTTGGCAGAGCATTGCCCTCCTCTGTCGCTCCCAGGATCCATGCAGGAACTTCAGGTGAAGATTTCTTTATGCCTTTCACTGTGCCTGAGCAAGAAAGGATTTGGCTCCATCGGTCAGATTGGTAGATCTAGGCTGGCCCTTCCCATCAACACTTCTCTCCTGGGGGTATCCTGGAGGTGGCTGGATGTGGAGCTAGCTTGAGAGGTGGCTGGGGTCTCTCTGCAAAAAAAAACAAAGGAAAAAAATCAAAAAAAGGGGGTCTGTCTGGCAGGAAAGTTGTGTTTCTAATGATGTGTCAAAGCAGCATTTGTGTGAAGCTGGTAGCATGGAGACCAGGAGCTGGCCTGCAAGCCACCCTTTGGTGTCTGGTCTCGACCTCATCTTCTGGACTGAGGTCTTTCAGAGCCAGAACAGTCAGGAGAGAGGAATCATGTATGTGAGTTCTAGCAGTCAACACCCCTTTCTGCTTTTCCTTCCAGGAGCTGTGCAAAAAGCTTCATGCCAAGATAGAGTCAGTGGATGAGGAGAGGTATGACACAGAGGTGAAGCTACAGAAGACTACCAAGGAGGTGAGTTTTCTCCAGTCCTCTTCAGGGGAGGGAGTCTCCAGCCCATCCTTCACACCTCCCCGCACTGCTTGGGTCCATCTCACGAAACCCACGGCCTGCTCTCTCTCATTTCCTCCCCATCCCCTGTAGCTGGAAGACCTGAGCCAGAAGCTCTTTGACCTGCGGGGCAAGTTCAAGAGGCCACCCCTGCGCAGGGTGCGCATGTCCGCCGATGCCATGCTGCGGGCTCTGCTGGGCTCCAAGCACAAGGTCTGCATGGACCTCCGAGCCAACCTGAAGCAAGTCAAGAAGGAAGACACCGAGAAGGTACTCTTCTCTCTCCCTTGTGCCCGTACAGGACTTGACCTCTGTTTTTTGGGGCTCACACCTCCCAGTGTGATAGACAGGGTTGAGCATGAGCACTTTCTCCATATGTTTCTCCTGCTCAATAGTTCCTCCTCTGGTGCCCAGGATGTGGAAAAAGGAGGGTGCAGCCCCAAAAGATGTACAGCAGTGGGTGGAATTGGGTTCCTCTAGCTGACAGGGTTTTTTTTGTGGGTGGACAGGAGAAGTGCCCTGCCTGGGTGGGTTCTCACCTCGGAGGGCACTGCTCACGTCCACCCTCCACATCCCTCCCCCAGGAGAAGGATCTCCGCGATGTTGGGGACTGGAGGAAGAACATCGAGGAGAAGTCCGGCATGGAGGGCAGGAAGAAGATGTTCGAGGCTGGCGAGTCCTAAGCACCTACCTCTCCACATCCGTCCTCTGCTCCCTCCTGTTGCTGCCAAACTCCCGGGCTCCAGGCCACCCTCTGGGTGCCGTTTCTCTCTGGTTTTGCCAAGAGCTGCATCCCAGCAGCAGCAGTGTAAATAAAGCTTTGGTGGGAGAGGCGGGTGTTGCCTGCCTTGAGGGCTGGACCCCAACCCATACCATGGTGCCAGAAGGGTGTACCCCCTACCGTGGGGGTCTTGGGGGCGGAGAGAGCTTTGGTGGGGGCTATGTGATGGGGAGGGGGGAGGTCTCTGCTGTTTGTCACTCTCCGAAGGTGGGGATGCTCTTCACGTCGTTGTGGGGAGGAAAGGGTGAGGCCATGCCACCATGCTCTGCTGGCATCCTCCCACTAAGCTGCTGGCCACGTCCTTCACCAGAGAGACAAAAAGAGAAGAGTCAAAGCTCCAGGAGGTGTTGCAGAACCTCTGCCCATGGTGGCATCA